GGTCATAGTCAGCACACAAAAGGGTGCAAGACACCAAGTTCCCATGCCAGGGGTCTCAAGCCGAGAAGGCTTGGCTGCTTTCCTACAGCCCAGCAGAGACTCCCAGGAGCACAACCATCTGAATACCCAGCCCTGTGGTGGGCTGAGGGGAGTGCAGTGCAGTGGCCCAGGGCGGGAATGATCCCAGTTTGAGAATGAGACCTGGCTGGGCCCAGAGGCAGTGGTGGTCCAGGGAGCAACACTTGGCAGCTGCTCCTCCTCCCATAGGAATCTCATGCCACCCCCAACCCAGGCCCCCCACCTCCCTGAGACAGTGGGACAAGCTTCCCCATGGCCCCCCAGGCCCTCTTGTCCTAAGCCCGATCAGGCCAGGCCCCTGCCTCTGTGGCCATCATCCAACTGTGAGCTTCACTCCCGGGGCTCCAGGTGCCTGGTCCACCTTCCCTTCCTCCTCAGGGCCTTTGCCTTTGTTCCCTCCTCCAGGTACAGGTCCTAATCTCCTTTCACCTATTCACTCCTCACTTTCCCTCGGGCATGAATTTCCCTGGGAAGACCTCCTCACCACTGACCACATCCATCCTGGGACTTCTCTGTGCCACTTACTGGGACCTCAACAGGCTAATAGTGAGATGAGCTGTGGAAGGCCCACATCCCTGGCTGAGGGCTCCACGCCCTTGCCTCCCACCGTGTGCTGAGCCTGGCCTGAGGCTGGCGCTCCGTCATGCTGGCCGAGGAGACACATGCAGGGGATGAGGATGCACGCGGCCTACAGCACACCCAACCTGGGCAGCCTGAGATATGGATGCTGAGCTCATACACCTGTGCCAGGACCAACAGAAGGCACCCCCTGGGAATGTTCTGGATCCAAACCTGGTGGTGGTTACCCAGGCATACACACAGATCAAAACCAACACGATGGACACTTTACTGTATGTCTGTTGCACCTCAATTAAAAAGTTTAAAACAATTTTTTTGAAAGCATCTTCTGGGCTGAGGCAGGATTGCTTGATGCAATTGAGGAGTTGAAGACCAGCCTGGGCAACATAGCAAGACCCAGAAATTTTTTCTAAAAAAAACTTGTTTTTTAATTAGCCAGGCACGGTGGTGTGTACCTGTAGTCCTAGCTACTCAGGAGGCTGAGGCAGGAAAATCACTTGAGCCCAGGAATTCAAGGCTGCAGTGAGCTAGCACTGTTCCACTGCACTCCAGCATGGGCAACAGAGCAAGACCCTGTCTCTAAAAGGAAAAAAAAAAAAAAAAGGCATTTTCTTCAGTGTCAACTTTATCTTCCCAGGAATTTCTTCTCCCACATATTGATACACAATTAACAACTGAATTGGAAACTGCTACCTGGGAGATGATATTGGACAGTGTGCACGAGGCCACACCACTTGGCCTTGTGCCCTGGCTGCTCAGGCATAGCCCACCTGCCCTCTGGATCCTCCTGGTGAAGAGGGGCAGACGGGGCTGGGCTAAGGCTACAGGCTGCCAAAAAAACCCGAGGGGGAGCCCTGAAGTCTGACATCGCATCAGAGCTCTGCAGGCCTCACCGTGTAACCCAGGGCAGGGGTTTCCTGTTGATAAGGCGTGGGCGCCGGCCTCTGCGGGCCCCTCCGATGCCTGTGGCTCCTCCGAAGTGAGTCTGCCCTCCTGCCTTCCCTCTGCTGCCCCACAGTGGGTGCTTCCTCAGCCTGGGAACTTTGTGCTCCACATTCCAGGCCTCTGCCCTCCGCACACACCCCTCCACTCTCTAGCTGCTTCCCCACTTTCTAAAACCTTCACGGTGGTCTGTACCAAAAGCAGAGTGTATGTAAGGTGGGAGGCCAGGCACAGTGGCTCACACCTGTAATCCCAGCACTTTGGGAGGCTGAGGCAGGTAGATCACCTAAGGTCAGGAGTTCAAGACCAGCCTGGTCAACATGGTGATATCCCATCTCTACTAAAAATACAAAAATTAGCCGGGCGTGGTGGCACACACCTTGTAGTCTCAGCTACTCAAGACCAAGGCAAAAGAATCACTTGAACCTGGGAGGCAGAGGTTGCCATGAGCCAAGATCACATCACTGCACTCCAGCCTGGGCAACAGAGTGAGACTCTGTCTCAAAAAAAAAAAGAGAGAGAATGTAAGATTGGAAACCTGGAGTTCTAACCCCCAGACAGGGGTGGGGGGCCCAGGCCACTCAACCTCCAGGGACGGCTCCTCGGGGTCACCTACCATTTCTTTCCCTCGCAGGCGTGTCTGTGGATCCAGTCTATGCAGGTGCTGCGGGCGCCCAGCCATGGGTAGGAGGCAGGGTGCAACAGAGGTCGCTACTGGGGTGACCCGAATCCCTTAGGAGCCCCTCCCAGAGTCAAGCACCTGATACACTAGGGGGTGAGGGGATGCAGTGCCTCAGGCTGGCCCCTGAGGAAGACTGGCCACTCCGCTCCAGATGTGAACTCCCTGCACTCCGGGCTGCACTGTGCCTGGGTGAGTGGGATCTGTGGCATAGAGGGCCTCGGGTGAAAGTGGGGAGGTGGGTGTGGGTAAGCCAGAGCACAGCCAGAGGCAGGCCGAGGGGACACAAGGCGCTGGTGTCCCCGCTCTTATGCAGTAACATAGCAGCAAGAGAAGGACAACTGCTGTTCCCTCTCCAGGGGAGTTGAAGGCTCGTCCTCATGCCAGGCACAGGGCAGGCTTCAGAAGCCACGAGTTACCAAGCTCCCACCTGGCAGAGCCCATCCACAGAGCTGCTCTTCCTACCATGTGCATTCACTTACAGACAGCAGTGGGGGAGAGCTGGAAGCCCCCAGAGCCAGGTACGCAGTAGGCACTCAATAAACGCTTGTCATGTGACTGGTATATAACAATGCACTATCCGGGGAGGAAAAGCAGACACAGAAGCTGAGGCCTAGGCGGTAGTAGCTTCTCTCATAAGGATGAGGCTGGTGCTGCAGAATCCGCCCATTTTTGTCCACCCCTTGGACACCACCTGGATCAGGCCCCATCATCTTCCACTGGGACCCTCCCCACAACGTCCTAGCAGTGTCCCTGCTACTACTGCTGCCTCCTCAGGCCACCCCAGAACCAGCTCTCCACAGAGCAGCCAGAGTGATCTCAGAACAAGGGGGAGCCAGGACCAGCAGAAGGAGAAAAAGATACGGGTGAGGGTCAGCTGGGACTCACCAAGGTGACTTCACACACAGGAGGCAATTAAAAGACCGACTTCTCCACACAGTCCAGGCAGGGGTCTGAACGGGAGAATGCAACACCACCTACAAAACATCCTTGTCCAAAAGTTCAAACCTGAATCTGATCACACTTCTAGATCAATCCACCAACTCACAGGAAACGCAAAGGTCAGAGCAACTTGCAAAGGTCCATCATCAGCAGAATCCAGGCGCAAGGAAACCCCACGCAGTTCTTCAACAATAAATCCAAGTATAGAATGGATAAAGGAGAGACAGATAAGAGAGAGAAAGGGAAGCCGACAGGCTGTGAGAGGAGCAAGATCCAACCATGAGAATGTACTGTTCTTCACTGGACCCTCGTCATTTGAACACTGAGTACGTATGTGAGGATGTCAAGAAATCATTATTTGTCAGACGTGACTATGATTCTGTGGTTATGTTGTTTAAACTCACCCTTTCAGGAACCTCTGTACATTGTTTGTGGGAATGTAAATTAGTACAGCCACTATGAAAAACAATATGGAGATGCCTCAAAACACTAAAAATAGAACCACCATATAATCCAACAATCCCACTACTGGGCTGGGTATATAGAAGAAATGAAGTCAATATATCAAAGAGATATCTGCACATCCATGTTTACTGCAGCACTATTCCCAAATAGCCAAGACATGGAATCAACCTAAGTATCCATTAATGGACAAATAGATTTTTAAAAAATATGATCCATATACAACTATTCAACTGTCAAAAAGAATGAGTTCTTGTCATTTGCAGCAACATGGATGGAGCTGGAGGTCATGATGTTAAATGAAATAAGCCAAGCACAGAAAGTCAAAAACCACATTCTCACTCATAGTGGGGGAGCTAAAAAAGTGGATCTCATGAAGACAGGGAGTAGATGGGTAGTTATCAGAGTTCAGGAAGGGAAGGGAGGATGGGGGGTTGAAGATATACAGTTAGATAGAAGAAATATCTAATATACAGTTAGACAGAAGAAATGAGATCTAGTATTTGACAGGTCAGTATGGTGACTGTAGTTAACAATCTATTATACATTTCAAAATAACCAGAAGAGAATAATTCAACTATTTCTAACTATTTCTAAAGATAAATATTTAAGGCTGGGTGTGGTGGCTCACACCCCTTAATCTCAGCACCTTGGGATGCAGAGGTGGAGGTGGGAGGATTGCTTGAGGCCAGGAGTTCAAGACCAGGTTGGGCAACATTTTGAAACCCCATGTCTACAAAAATTTTTATTAGCTGGACATGGTGGCACACACCTGTAGTCCCAGCTCGTTAGAAGGCTGAGGTGGGAGGACTGCTTGAGTCCAGGAGTTCAAGGTTACATGAGCTATGATCCTGCCACTGTACCCCAGCCTGGATGACAGAGAAAGACCTTGTCTCAAAAAAAAAAAAAAAGCTATCTAGGATTTGGCTTACAGTCACCCCGGCGATTAGTGGGACATACAAAACAGGACCCCCACGAGGTGATGCTAACAAAGTTATGTGATGAGAACACAAAATTCCCATCTCCATCATCTCTTCTGGCTAATTTTATATAGGTTTCAAATCTTCCATGATAAAAAGGATTTTTGTAGTTGTTGTTTGTTTGAAATCTCAGATCCCACTAGAGAAGTGAGGAAAAGCAGAAAGGTGGGAGCATTTCTGTGGCACAGGGCCTGGTGGACGGCGAGGGATTTCCAACGATTCCGCAGAAGTTTGGGGTGTTCTGCAAATGCTCATTGCCAGCTTCCTTTTTCAAGTAAACTTTTAACCCGTTTTTTTTTTTTTTTTTTTTTTTGAAATCTCAGTTAAAAAATACCCACCTCACACGCAGAAGTGACAGGATACGGTGCACTCTGTGACCAGGGCTGGCCTACGCACTCTTTGTGATTGTCTGAGAAAGATAAGTACAGAATCAAAAGTCAGAGGGTAGAAACGTTTACAGTTTTATCATTTGACACAGCAACCTCATGTCTGTCGAGTCTAATAAGCAGATAACGGGCTTATCTTTTTATATATCTTCAATCTTCTTATAACAATTTTCATCATATTTTAAAAATTGGCCCATGAAAGATTAACATTTTAAAAACAATCATCTAGTCTTTCACCACGGAGAGTTTGAGAAGCACTGTTATGGACCAGACATGGATCCCCTGGAGACCCCAAATCCATCAGCTTAGGAGGTTGGCCAGAGACACCAGGACAAAGCTTCTCTTCCCACCGTCTTCTGTGCTGACTCCAGCGCTTCCTATAAACACATCACAGGCGCTGCAAAGCCTGTTTGATTTTCTGCGCTCATTGGCACACTTCCACGCCAGTACAAGCAGAGCCACTTCCAGCAGATACCTCTGTCGCCCAGGCTGGAGTGCAGTGGCAGGATCATAGCTCACTGCAAGGTCCAGGTTGTGTGCTGGGTGCCCCTGCTGGTCAAAGCACCTTGGCCAGCCATGGTTAGCCAGCCAATTTTCACATACATGCCCACTGCTGTTTCCCCTTCAAACTTCGGGATGGGTTTAACAGCAGAGGGTCCTCAGATTGCAAGGTGAGCGTTTGAAAAACTGACTGCTTCTTTGTATCAACTGGAAATCACTCTATCACTAAAATACCGAAATAAATCAGGAACTGGGGCTAGTGTAAGACATCAACCTGCACCCATGGCCCCAGGTTTCTAGTGTGCTCCTGAAAATGGTATCACTGTTCTAACTATGATACACACACACACACAAATCACAAATATAAGGTTATAAAATAAACTCACAGGCTGGGTGCAGTGGCTCATGCCTGTAATCCCAGCACTTTGGGAGACCGAGGCGGGCGGATCACCTGAGGTCAGGAGTTCGAGACCAGCCTGGCCAACATGGTGAAACCCCATCTCTACTGAAAATACAGAAATTAGCCGGGCGTGGTGTTTGGTGCCTGTAGTCCCAGCTACTCAGGAGGCTGAGGCAGGAGAATCACTTGAACCCAGGAGGCAGCGGCTGCAGTGAGCGGAGATCACACCATTGCACTCCAGCCTGGGCGACAGGAACGAAACTCTGTCTCAAAAATAAATAATAAATAAATGAATGAATAAACAAACTAAACTCACATGAATATGCAATGTCACCTGTGTCAGTTTCATGCATTGGTGTTCCATGTTCAAGTTTTACTACATTGAAAGAGAATTGAAAGTGGCTGGTAGTCAAGATCCTTAGGTTGCAGTCTCCACTCTGCTCACTCGTGGTTAGCATCCACGGGCCTTAGTTTCCTCATCTATGAAATGAAAATGCAACCACTCATTTCATAGGTTTTGTTGAGGGCCAAGAGCTAAAAATACATTTCAAAGAATTAAAAGGACCAGGTGCAGTGGCTCATGCCTGTAATCCTAGCACTTTGGGAGGCCAAGGCAGGAGGATTGCTTGAGGCCAGAAGTTCAATATCAGCCTCGGTAACATGGCAAGACCCCATTTCTAAACAATAAAAATAAAAAAAGAAAGAAAAAGTCAGGCATGGTGGTGTGCTGATGTGCACCTGTAGTCCCAGCTACTTGGGAGGCTGAGGCAGGAGGATTGCTTGAACCCAGTGAGCTATGATTGCACCACTGCACTCTGGCCTTGGCAACAGAACAACACACTGTCTCAAAAAAAAAAAAAAAAGGAAAGAAAAGAAAAGAAAAACAAAGCACAAAGCTAAAACCAAACCACATAGTGATTTTATCATATTCACAGCATGGCCTGAGTTTCATCCTCCCTCTTCTTACATAGCCTCACTCATCTTGTTTCTTTCTCCATAAAGTGTGGAATGTGATACTATATCTATGACCAATAATATTATTAATAACAAATACATTCAAGTATCATGGATCAAAAAATATACCACCAATCCTGTTGCATGTGCCCAACATAGGGCCCAACGTAGGTTGACAGGGTGGTCCTCCCTGCAGCCCTGTGAGGCTAACTTCATCACCCCTGTTTACAGATGGAGCTTTGAGAGAACAACAGTTCCTGCCTCCTCTGCATTCCAGGCTTTCTTTGAGACCCCAGTGTGATAACAACAATGTGAAAATCAATGCAAGTACCCAGGAGACAAGGCACAGGGACCACAGCCATGAACAGAACACATGTATGTGACTTCAAGGGGTTTCTCCTAGGAACCAGGACGAGTGGGATTAAAGCTGAGTTAACACCTGGCCTGAGTCTGTGGGCTTTTCTGGGTCAGCCCCTCCTACTATAGCAGAGAAAATGCGGTTTGGTAGCCCTGCTGGGAACAGTGGGGTGCATGCCCTCCGTGTGGCTTCAGAGTCTTTCCCTCAAAGCAGGCATTAAAGTTGACCAAGCTTAACCACCTGGAGCAGAACATGGGGTTGAGGGAGCACGGATGCCAGGAGTGCTCCTAACAGCTCCTCTCCCAGCTCAGGCTCACCACCAGAGTCCCTGGGAGACAGCCAGTATGTGCCAGAAACGGCTCACTCTTCACGAGACAATGAATCCACTGTTGACCAGCCAGGGCTTTGATTAATATTTGCAAAAGAATGAAGTGGAAAATTCCACCTGTGTGGGTGGAAGCTGGACCCGCGGGACACGTCAACAACCCTGATGGCCTTGTTCTCCCAGGGATGGATCAGGCAAAGAAGCAAAGGTCTGAATAACAATGACAGAATCTGGGGATTACCGTGATTCTTGGGTCCTAGGGAATTTTCCTTTTTTTTTTTGGTTCTGCCTCTCCTGCCCCTAAATTTACACAGCACTCTTAAATCCTTCAACTTGCTTTCCTATTTGCTGTTTCTTCTGTGTTTCCTAACAGCCCTGCTGGGGAGGCAGAACTGATGTCAGTCCCATGTTACAGATGGAGAAACTGAGGTTCCAAAAGACCAAGAGCCTCACTCAAGGCCAACAGATGGTGAATGAGTCACAGAACCAGATGGTCTGGAAGCCAGGCATCTCACTACACCGTGGCTGCACAGAGCCTGTCCCTAGGGTCTGGGTCAGGGCCATGGGTACTTGACCCAGTGATCTTCCAGGCTCTGGCAGAGGCCCTGACCTTTGCTCTGCCTGTGAAGCAAGAGGAGGAACTTCAAACCAGCTCCCCTGGGTGGGCAGTCACAGGCACTGGCCTTGGAGGAAGGTAGGTGTTAATTTATTCATCCATTCAAGCATTTAATGAGCACCTAGAAAGCCCACCTCCCCCCGCCCTCCCCGCCCCGCACAAGAAGGCACACTGGTCACTCTTTCAGAAACCCAGACCTAGCAGAATTTATGACTGAAGGGAGAAGGTCAGAAAATCTCCAAAGGTCGCTTCTCTCATAGACTCAAATCACTTCATCGCTCCTATCACCACCCCATTTTACAGAAAAGGAAACTACTCTGAGAAGAGCAGTGACTTGCCAGAGCCTCTAGTTCAAAAAGCCACAAAGTTATCACGCTTAGGCACCCAAATAAATTGTGTCCCTTCCAGCAGGCCACCTGGGACCTCTCATGCAGGACTACTTGAGGCATGGCCTTCTGAGCCAGCAGGGCAGGGGGCAGGGGAACCCCCCAGGGGACAGGCGGACACACCCTGTTTGCCCACCTCAACCTCCAGTTGTGGCTGCAGGGCCTGTCACACCCTCTCCTCCACTCCACAGCCCCAACTATGGAACTGAACCAGGTTTCACCCCATCCCTAAGCCCCAAGAGGCCAGGGCAGTGTCATCCTGAACCCAGGACAGCAGGAAAGCCATTTGGGCTGTGTCTTGGGTCTGCCTGGCAGCCCCTGCCTGGGTACTCCTCCTTCTTACTCACAGCTCAGCCACCTCCAGACCACCCTCACCTGACACTTCTTCCCCTGGAGAAAGAACCTCGGCCCTTCTCTTTTTACAAAACCACCTCCCCTTTCCTCTTGCCAAGGCTACCTGTGACTGCCACCAACCAGCCTCAGTGCCCTTGGTATCTCTGCCCCATCTGACCCCATGAGCTCCTCCCTCACTACTGGGCATTCCTGCTGCAGCCCCTCCTAGACCTCCCCACCTCCTCCGGCAAGCCCTCCTCCCCAGGGCTCTATTCTATCCTCCTCTCCACTGCCCCCTGAGAAAGTCTGACTGACGAACCCTGTCTCCAGGCCTAACCTCTGCACCCCTGGTTGTCTCAAAGCCCGTGTGCCAAACAACACCAAGCTCACCACAGCAGGGCCTGCCCCGGCACACAGCTGAAAAGCCAGCACAGCCCAGAGCCTGGCCCACAGTACAGAATCAGATACGGAATGAACGCATGTTAGTGAACGGCTGCCTGCTCCTTCGTCTCAGAGGGACGAGCCCTCTACTTGCCCTGCAGAGCCACCCAGGTGGCCTTTGTAAAACTGAAAATTGATGACCATCTAAGCCTGTACCATTATTCCTCAGCACCATGGGACAAAGTTCACAATCTTTTTTTTTTTTTTTTTTTTGAGACGGAGTCTCGCTCTGTGGCCCAGGCTGGAGTGCAGTGGCCGGATCTCACCGCCTCCCAGGTTTACGCCATTCTCCTGCCTCAGCCTCCCGAGTAGCTGGGACTACAGCCCGCCACCAGCCCGCCACCTCGCCCGGCTAGTTTTCTGTAGTTTTTAGTAGAGACGGGGTTTCACCGTGTTAGCCAGAATGGTCTGGATCTCCTGACCTCGTGATCCGCCCGTCTCGGCCTCCCAAAGTGCTGGGATTACAGGCTTGAGCCACCGCGCCCAGCCAAAGTTCACAATCGTGAGCTTGCTGACCAGGCTGTTTTCAGCTGAGCTTCCGCAGCAGGGCGGGCACTTGTGTCCTTGAAAATACTTCTCACTGCACTCATCCTCACTCCAGGAGTACCCATCAGCCAGCACCCATGTGTCGTGCACCTTTGCACCCAGCACGTATTTGCTGAACAGGAAGATGACTATGAGAGCTGAAAATGTTCTCAGGGGCCACAGGGCCCAAAGCAACTCAGAGAGGTGGAATGAGGGGCTCAGGGTGGCCCAGCCCCAGGCAGGGGTGCGGCCACAACCTCAACTGAGTTCATTGGTCAGGAACCGGAGCAATTCTCTGAAAATGCTACCTGCAACTCCACACGTATGCATGCCAGAGCCCAAACCTCTGGCTGATCCCCAGTCCATGCAAGCCCTAACCCAGCTGGCAGGGGGGCCAGGCCTGGCACACAAGTAGGGCCTCAGCTAAAACAGCTGCTTGACTCAGTACAACCTCTCACCAGCTGACAACACATCCCTAAGTTCCATACCCCTCTCTAGGACTCCGTCTTCTCATTTGTAGAATGGAGCTAATTCTGCCTACAAGTTTAAATGGCCCTGAGTTGGTCACCACAACCCGGTCGTTTGCAAACCGAGGGGGCTGAAGCAGCAATTCCAGCCTCTGTGGCTCCACTGTTAGCCCAGCTGATATTTGTGAACTTTCCCCCAAACCACTGTGTCTCAAAGGATGGTCCCTGGGCCACCCACCCACGAATTACGGGGGCGTGGGTGGAAGCTCGTTAAATGCAGATCCCGGGCCTGACCCGGACCTGCCGTCTGGATCTCATTTTAGGCGGTGCTCAAAGATTCCGGGCCAGGGAAATTTGAGAAGCGCAGCTCCAAATCGCCAGTGCTGACGGCTTCCGCTTTGGGAGCCCCAGGTGCTGCTGTCCGAACTCACTTGGTGGAAACAGACATTTACCAGAAAGCCTGGGGTCGGGCAGCGGGCACTCCTACCGCTCTCACACCGCGTAGCTGAAAGAACTTGCTCCCTCAAAGGAGTCAGTGAGCTCCGGCAGTCCGCGTTCCACCCATTTCGCTTCGCGGGGCGATTGTGTAAAGCGGACCCGGGTCTCGGCGTCCAGCCCGGCCCCAAACCTCCGGCCCCCAGGCCTCTC